TAAGCTGCTCAAAATCCGAGATTTGCTTTAGAAGCATCTTGGCGTTTAGCTCGAGAGTTAAACTTCTTCTCGTAAGATTCTCGTTCAGTTCCAAACTTTCTTTCAACTTCCATAATTCTCTTCTTTTCTATCTCCATTTCTTTCCTTTCGTCATTTAAAATCTTTGCAGTCTTTACAACTTTTTCTTTCTCTAAGTTTAACAGCTCTCTTACTTCAATCATTTCACTTTCAGATTTATTCACTATAGTAGTTAAGTCCTCAACCTGTTTATTTAACCTAACTGTCTCTTCTGGATCAGCACAGGTTTTCATCAGTTCATCCACCTTTTCTTGCAAAATTCTCTTCTCTTCTTTCTCTCTCTGAAGAATACCATTCAGATGATTTGACCATGATATACTCTTGCTAAGACTAGAATCTACTTGAGCATACTTTTCTTTAAGCTCACGATATTCTTTAGTATAAAAAACTGTCATTTTAAAAAAAATTGATCAGTTAAGGATCTATGCAGTGAAATCAGATAAAAGAAATATGAACAGTTAAGCTCAAAAAGAACAGAAAAATACAAACACTGAAAAACTCACACACAAACAAATATACAATGATCCAAAAAAAAATCTAAACACAAATGAACTAAGAAACTAAAAAACAGTCCAAGACAATAAACTAAGTCCAAAAACAGTCTAAGCCAAATCAATCTGAGTCAAGTTCAAAACAAACAATAACCACTTTTTACAATACAAATATGGAACAAAAAAAAAATATACTATCTGCGCCCGAAATCTATCCAAAAATCCACTTGTTGTAGATAAACCTTCACAAACCAAACAGATTTGCTGCTGTTGCAGACCTGCTGTGTTATCAGTTTAAGAATACACAAAGCTTTCTGCTTTTAAGAATACACAAAGCTTTCTGCTTCAACTCTGTATGCTTTCAACTCTGTATGCTTAAACTTGCTTAAACAAAGCTTTCTGCTTCAAAACTGTTTACTAGATCTGCTGTTTCAAATCTTCTGTTTGAAGCTGCTGTTTTAAATCTGCTGCTACCTTGGTCTCATGGCCAGTAAATATCACAGCCCCAACGATATACTTTGACCTCTGTACAGATAACTTCAAAATCAAACCAGCAATATCTGTTGCTGCACTAAACTTTCAACAGTCAGCAGCATTAGTGGCTTATGACAGTAAATTCTAAACAAACACAGAACTCTAAACAACAGTAAGTGTAAACAGCACTTAAACAGCTCTAAAACAGCACTCTAAACAGTTTAT